AGATCTCGCCCGACCCTTCCCCCAAGTGCCACCGCCCGGGAGAGTACAGCCGCTGCGGACCGCCGCCGCCCCCGCCGCCGCTGCCGCCGCCGCTGCCGCCGCCGCCTCCGCCGCCTCCGCCGCCCTTGTCTGCTGGAGTACCGCTGATTCTGCCTCCCGTGCTCGAGGTGAGCCGCACGAGCCACTCCGCGGCCGCCCAGCGCCCGCTCTCTCTCCCAATGCCCTCCATCGCCTCGCGGACGGCGTACGCACTGCGGATCGCCGCGGACTGACGCGCTAGCTCCGCCGCCTTGTCCGCCTTCTTCTTGCTCTTGACGTTGATCGCTTCGGCGGCGGAGGCGGCGGTGGCGGCGGCGGCGGTGGCGGCGGCGGTGGCGGCGGCCCGAGCCAGGGTCTCGGAGGCGGTGGGTGCCGCGGAGGCGGCGGCAGCGCTGTCGGGAGCGGCGGCGGTCGGCTTGTCGCCGAGCACGGAGGAGAAGGCGCCTCGCTGCCCTCCTCCAGTGTGGCAGTACAGGCCCGTCTCCCACACCTCGACCGACGTCTCCACCGACTCCTTCTCCACCTTGGTGCTCACCTCGACGCGCGGGAGGACGAGGCCGAGGCTGAAGGGAGGCGCGCCGCCGCCGCCTCGCGGCCGCTCGAGCCGCACGTGCACGCCTGCTCACACCGCCACTGCTGTGAAGACAGGCCGAGAGGGCGAGGCAACTACCTCGGCTGCACCTCGGCTGCACCTCGGCTGCACCTCGGCTGCACCTCGGCTGCACCTCGGCTGCACCTCGGCTGCACCTCGGCTGCACCTCGGCTGCACCTCGGCTATCTCTCGGCTATCTCTCGGCTATCTCTCGGCCATCTCTCGGCTATCTCTCGGCTATCTCTCGGCTATCTCTCGCCCTTGACCGAGAGGGCGAGGTTGACGTGCGAGAAGAGGCGCGCCTTGATTCGCTCGAGCAGCGTGCGCCGGCGCGGCTTCGCGTGCAGCGCCTTGAGCTTGCCCACCAGCGCCGCCACCGCCTTCTCCACCGCCGCCGCCTTGGCCGCCTTGAGGTCCTCGACGCTCCACGCGTCCGCCTCCTGCACGAGCAGCAACCGAGCTCCGAGCCGAGAGGCGCCGAGAGACGCCGAGGGGAGCCGAGAGGAGCCGAGAGGGAGCCGAGAGGAGCCGAGAGGAGCCGAGAGGTAGCCGAGAGGAGCCGAGAGTAGCAGCGGCCTGCACGAGCAGCACCGCGTTGAGCCCCTCGACCTGCAGCGTCCACTTATTATTCTTATTCGTATTCGTATTATTATTATTATTGTTATTAATCTTTTGTTTTTTGTTTTCAGCCCCTCGACCTGCAGCGTCCACTTGGCTTCTCGCGAGGTCATGTTCCCCCACGGGATGTCCATGTAGATGCGGCGCGACGACAGGTGCACGAGGCGCAGGGTCGAGCCCGCGTTGACCAGCGCGTCGTTGACGACGGAGGCGCGGACCTGCGCCGCGGGCCAATCAGTCGTCGATACCAACTCGTAGCTGGACAGGAGCGGGCCTGGCGGGCGGGCCAAGGCGGTGGCGCCCAAGGCGGCGCGAGTGGAGAGAGCGGGCGGCGTGGCTGCGAGGCGCGGACGCCGACTGGGTGATGCTGCGGTGGCAACCGAAGCTGGGTGGCGTGGCAGTGACGGCGGTGAGGCAGTGGCGGTGGCGGCGCGAGCGGCGGCGTTGGCGGCAGGCGCAGGACGTCCGACGCTGCGAGCGAGGCGGGCGGCGGCTCACGATGGCATTCTCGAGGCTGATGTCTGAGGATTCGTGCACGACAAAGTCGGAGCAGGCGTCACCAATGTCGGGGTGTTCGCCGACCTCGAGGAAGGGGCGGATGCGTTGGGTGACCTTGGAGTCGACGTACTCGTGCAGCTTCTTCTTGAGCAGCCCGCGTCCCATCGCGTTGCGGCGCGTTCCGGGCACTCTTCGGCCCTCCAAGGCTGCCGCCGCGTTGTCCTCCGCGCTCGCCGCGTCGGCCCCTTGTTGGCTGCGCTAGCCGCCGCCTTGTCCTTCACAGAAACAAAGAATTCGCCGCTCATTGGTGTGGCGGCGCGCGGACGGTGGCGGCGGCGCGCGGACGGCGGCGGCGGCGCGGCGGCGCTGCTCCTCTGCTGCTGATGATGACAATGATGCTGCTCCTGCTGCCCCTCCCGCCCGTAAAAAGAAGAATTTTACAACCTCTCCTCCTCTCCCCACAACAGTGTTGTGCAAAAGAAGAATTCTTAAGATACAAGCCTCTCTCACAGCACACTGGCACGACAAGGGCGCAGACTGGCGCGGACTGGCACACACACAGGCTCACCACCGGAGCCGCCTAAGCGACTCCGTTAAGAACGGCAATGCACTCCGCACCATGCACAATGCCGCTCTCCCCGCACGCTAGCTCGTTCACCGTCTGCCACGCCACGGCGGTGTGGAGGACGACAGACAAGCGCTGCATCTGCAGCCCGTGCCAGTTCTTGGTGGTCCATGTGACCTCGTCCAGGTGCTGAGCGTGCGAAAGTTTGTTGCTCAGCTGGTTCGCCGCCTCCCTCAGGGTGCTGCGAACCTCCTTTCCAAAGCCTCCGAAAGCCTCAAAATCAAACAAACGTACGCCACGTGTTGCTCGACTCGCAGGCCCGCGGCATCCCGCATCTGGTCGTAGTCGGCATCGTGCCGCTTGTACTGCTTGCGGGCCCTGCAGGCTTCGTGCTTTACATGGTGGTGGTGGTCCCACTCCACGCCGCCCTGTGTGGCGGCGTCGTGAGTGGCGAGAAGGCGGCCAAAGCGGCCTAGGGCACCGGCAAGCAACGCGCATGGCTGGTGCGTGATGTGGTGCCCGATGCGGCAGAGATATATTTGCGTGGCGCTTTCGGGATCCTCGCGACCCTGTGCGCAATGATGGTGCTGTGGATCCTGGGCCTTCCGGCCACGTGGCGTGCCGGGTGGGCTTGGCATGACCCCGTCTCGTGGCTGCGTGGTACGAGCGCTCGATCCAGACGTTGGGCCACTTCCCTACGCCGCTGAATCTGATTACCAAGTACAAAGGGCACTCGGTGGCACAGCTCTGCCATACCTTGCCGGGCGCGCTCTGGGCGGCCCTCATACCCTTCCAACTACACCCTGTGGCGCGGCGGCGCTTTATATATACCAGGGCGCCTCGGGGGCTACGTGTTCACGGGGTCGGCGTACCTGATGATGGTAGGGTTCGCATACATTGACGCGAAGGGTCTGGTCTACCTACACTCGGATTTCCCGCAGATCCACCCTGACCACAATACGACACGCTTTCCGGTGCACGTACCGCACGAGCCCGTTTTCCGGATGGTGGCTTGGTGGTTTGTGGTCACGATCTCCCTCGCGGTCTGGCACGCGGTGCATCGGCGTTTCAAAGAGCACAGGAGGTGGATGTTGCGCCACGTTGCGTCTGGCATCTGGGTCGCCGTGCAGAGGCTCGTTGTGATACTCGTCAGCTCCGCGACTCCTGCAGACCAGAAGAAGACTTTCGGCGACGGCGCACTGATCGGTGTGGCGCTGGCCTGTTCTGCGGCGGAGATCGCGGTTTGGTGCTATGAGCGCCCCGCTGGAGGTGTCAGGGGTAAGAAAGTCGTGTGATTCGACGGTGTAAGGGTGTCCTAGCACGGAAGTAGTGGGCCGTTGTCGGGGGAGTGGTTTCTTCTTATCCTGCCAGGATTCCAAACTGGCGCGGTTTCCTCATCTTTATTTTGCGGGATGATATGAAGATGGAGACGTGGGCGATGCGCATTACAGTTCAGCGCCGCCTCGGCCTCCCGCTCGATGTTGCCTGCCAGGCGGTGGAGGCGGGCAAGAAGGCGCCAAACGGCAAGCCGCACGAAGAACTCGGCGATGCCGCAATGGTCAACCCGCGTGCGAAGCACGCGACACGACACAAATACCTGCTCAAACGACTCGTCAAGACCCTTCGCTCGGCGTGGGGCATGCTCATCGAGATGGAGCCGACTGCACACCTCAGTTACAGTAACCCAAAACAACCTGACGTGGCGGCGGCGAACATCGGCAAAGGGCATGTGCGCCTCGTTGGCGACTTGAAACTGACGAGCTCGCTTGCGTGCAAGGGTGGCGATCGGCTCGGCTGGAAGGGGGCTTTTGTCGCCTTCGGCAACACCGAGCGGGCGCTGCTCGGGTCACTTAGTGTTAGGGCATGCTGCATGGCCGCGGCCGGGAGGGGGGGGGGAGGGGGGGAGGGAGGCGGAGGATGCAGAGGCGGAGGCGGCGGCGGCGGAAGAGGAGGAGGGGGAGAGTGAGGGGGAGGCGGAGGCGGGGGCACCTGTGACGGCCCCCTACAAGAAGGGCGACTACCGGTTCGCGCGGGAGAAGAATTGCGACCTGCGTTTGCTCGACTTCGAGACGTTCGGCGGCTTCGGGGACGGCGTCCGCAGAATTCTTCGGCAGGCGGCGGACCAGCTGAGTAACAAACTTTCGCACGCTCAGCACCTCGATGAGGTCACATGGACCACCAAGAACTGGCACGGGCTGCAGATGCAGCGCTTGTCTGTCGTTCTCCACACCGCTGTGGCGTGGCAGACGGTGAACGAGCTAGCGTGCGGGGACAGCGGCATTGTGCACGGAGCTAAGTGCATTGCCGTTCTTAACGGAGTCGCTTAGGCGGCTCCGGTGGTGTGCCGGTGATAGTACTAGCACGCGCCAGTTCGCACCTGTGTCGAGCCTGTGTGCTGTGAGAGAGAGTTCTTTTGTAAATTATTTTTATTAAAAGGTTACTCCTGCCAATTCGCGCGCGCCCAGGTAAGGTCGCCACTCCATCACACAGGAACAAACAAAACAACTCAGGAACATGACACTGACCGCACCCACCTCGCTCTTCCCGCACAAGCGCAACCCGCTCCACTACTACCAGAAGAAGGTCCTCGGTCGACGCTATCCCATCGCAGCGACAAAGGGAAAGCAGGCTGACAAGCTCGGCGAGACGATCGACGACCTGGGACGAACCGCCTCTTCGTCCTCCGACGACGACATCCACTCGCTGCCGCCAGATGAGGAGCAGGAGGCGGCCCGCCTGGAGTGGCGCGCGTACCATCTGCAGTCTGGCGATATCGACGAGGCGCTCGGCCTGAGCGTCACCGGCGAGGAGGAGGAGGAGGTCAAGGAAGCCGTCGCCAAGCTTGAGGCGGCGCGGCTCGAGTGGCGGGCGCACCACCTCGAGACTGGCGCGTACGGCGAGGCGCTCGATCTGAGCCTTTCGGCCGAGGAGCGGGAGGAGGTAGAGCGATCGATGCCGCCGCAGCCCACCTCAAGCTTCCACGACTACCTCGCTGACCAGACCGCCTATCTGGACAGAGGCTGGCGGATGGACGCCGGCTCGCCCACCAAGGCGGAGGAGGACCTCGCGGCGATCGGCGCCAAGATCGAGCGCTCTGACGACCTCTACATGAAGAACGAGTTTGTGCAGCTCCTCTACCCAGACCGCCCGACCTCGGGCCCGCTCCAGCTCCTCGAGCTCAAGGTGGACCGCTCCAAGCAGTGGCTGCCCTCGCCGCAGCTGCTCTTCATGCAGGCGGTCGTCGGGCTCGGCCGGTGCGCCAACGTGGACACGACCTTCGAGTTCACCGAGGGCCGCGTGCGCGAGAAGAACATCCTCAACCGCTGCGTGCCAAAGGCGATGCCAGAGGCGCTGGACCACGTCGTCGGGGGCTTCGTCTCGCCGAGCCAGGCGGTCGATGTTGCCGCCTCCAACGGCTTTCCATGCGGCTTCTTTACCGGCCGCTGGCCGCTCCCCTGCCTGCCTCCCACCGGGCAGTACGGCTCGTTGACCATCGAGTCGTGCGAGGACGGCAAGCTGAGCCTCGCGGGCTACACCAAGGCGCGCGGCCACTACATTGCGGTGCTCGACATCTCCGGGCTGGAGGGCAATCGCCAGCGCCACACGGAGTGGTGAGCTTCTGACCGATCATGCCGGGGAACCGAGAATGCCGCGAGACGCTCTGGGGGGAGCGGGTGTTCTCGGGGGGCCCAGGCAGTGAAAGTGAACAAGTGTGAAATGTGTGTGGAGTGTGGTGGGTCGTTTGCGTGTGGGCGTGGCCCTCTCGAACTCGAGGTCCGCTCCGAGGCGTGCTGCGAGCGCCTGTGTGCTTTTGAGTCGGATTTTGTCCAATGCGCTGTGAAAACTGGACGCTCGTGTGAGTCTCTCTCTCGCGCCGCTGTAGACCGCGTTTTGCCGCGCGCATCGCTATCGACTATCGTCGACATTCGAGCCCAAATCCCAAAAGACACATGCCACGCGAGTAGAACTGAACTGATCCACTGATCGACGTGAGAAAACAACACCGACGTTACAGCAGAGACCCGGCGCCTCCCGGTGCCGCCAGCTCCTCCCTAGGAACCTCCAGCTGTGCCGGTGTCGCGGACGCTGCCGGTCTGCCGGTGCGCTGCGGGCGCCGCGCCGGTGGCTCCCAGCCGCTTAGACCTCCTTGAGGTAGAAGCCCTTGAACTCGTGCACCTCGCGGCTGCTGTCGTAGTGCGGCGCCGTCGACACGGCCTTCTTGGCCTTCTCGAGCGCGTCGGTGCCTGGAGAGGCGCGCGGTGGACGCGGCCATGAACGCACCTCTGCTGCGTCTCCAGGAGCATCTGGCAAGGGTGTCGGCTGGATCTCGATGTCGTCTCGGCTGCACCTCGGCTCCATCTCGGCTGCATCTCGACTGCATCCCGGCTAGATCTCGCCGAGGAACTTGACCATGTCGTCGAGGTCGTTAAAGATGTACCGGGCCTGAGTAGCAACCCGCGAGTGGTAACCAGGCCGTTGAAGCTGCTCCGGGCTGCTGGTGGGGGCGACTGCCATTCTGCGACAGGCGCCTCTCTCTCAGAGGTGGTCCCCGCCCTGCGGTCTTGGGAGAGAGGATCTAGAGCTGGGAGCACGGGCGGCGCGGGCCAGCCCGGATGACCATGTGTCCTGTCCTTGTCCCTACTTCGGCCGGATCTCGGCCGGATCTCGGCCGCAGCTCACCGCCAGCCACCCCTCGCCAGGGCAGAAGGAGAACTCGACGTCCTTGACGCCGGTCTCGGCGCGGACGGACGCCTGCGAACTCATGCGTGTGGCGCGTCGGAGGACCTCCACACACTGCCGCACCTCAGCTGGACTCGAGTGAGCTCGACCGCATCTCGGCTCCAGGTGAGAGCGCGGCCCGATCCTGGGCGGTGTGTTATGCGCTAGCAGCGCACCGGCATGTTGCTCTCGTTGACCCACGCACGCACCTCCGTCATCTTGGTCTTGTCGAACGGGTACTGCGGGCAAGGGAGGGGAGACACATATATCGGCAGCCGGCCACAGAGCGGCGCTCACCCGCTTGCGCAGTGCCTCAACAGAGCGCGAGTGGTGCGTGGCGTGGGCGCAAGTGCTGGCGTAGGAGAGCGCGCGGCGGTGATCGCCTGAACGAAGCGCGTCATGGGCCTCGCCTCACCGGACATGTGCCGGACAGCGAGAGGCCGCAGGAGGCGCGACTGCTGCGAGGCGATCCGGGCGAGCATGCTGCTTCGAGGGCCTACCGAGGAGGCGGGTGTGGGACTTGCTGAGCAGGTTGGTGGGAGGCTTGAGGCGTGAGGCGTGAGCGGTGAGGCGTGCGGCTGCGCCTCTGGCGCGACACTGACAGGGAGAGCACACGAGAGCGCCGAGCCTGGAAATTCTTCTGAAGCGCCCTTATCGTGCCAGTGTGCTGTGAGAAGGCTTGTATTTTAGATTTGCGCAGCAACCCGGCCGGGCAACCTTTGAAAAAAGTTATCTCGCCCAGATTCGGCCGCCGCGCCGCGCCGCCGCCCGATGATTAATAATTAATAATTATTACCCGATAATTAATATGTGTGTTTATTGGTGTGTGTGTGTGTGTGTGTGTGTGTGTGTGTGTGTGTGTGTGTGTGTGTGTGTGTGTGTTTGTTTGTTCGCGCGATGGCAGGGAGGGGCAGGGCAGCCGCGAGCGGCAAGTGGCGTCGGCGACGCGGCGCGGACCCGATGGTGACGCCCACAGCGCAGCGTGCGCGGTTCGAAGAATTCTTTCTGAGATTCGTTCTCAAGAGCACACGAGTTATCAGGATCAAAAGAAGAAAAACATGCGGCTGTTTTGAGTCCCTCTTCTGTCTTCAGTGGGACGGCCGCGAGGTGGCATGAAGGTTGCAGCGAGAAGCGGCGAGAGACTGCGAAAAGAGATAGGAAGAGGCAGACTCCTTAGGGTGGGTAAGGTAAGGTAAGGTAAACTTCTCCACACAGACTGTCTACAGCGGAGAATCGACTGGCGAATCGATCAAAAGAAGAAAAACAAAACGCCCGTTTTTTCCTCGGGCTGCCACACGAGTCCCTCTTCTGTCTTCAACCGGCAACGGAACGGCACGAGCGGCCACGCGCAACGCCGGAGCAACGCCGCAAGCGCAAGCAGCTCGCAAGCTCGCGGCTCACAAGCTCTCAAAAGCTCTAGCGTGTCGCCAGCGGTGAAGCCCACGGCTAGTGCTCCTCCTCGGCTCCTCGCCGCCTCGCACTCACGCCTTGCCTACTCACGGCCCCGGCGCCCACGCCTCGACCTTCTTGGGCAGCAGCTGGTTCGACAGGTCCTCTCCGTGGCCTAGGCAGCCGTCGTCGCCCCCACCCCAAGTAAAGATGGTGCCATCGGGAGTGGTGGCGAGGCTGTTGTACGCTCCAGCCGACACAGCGACGGCGCGCTGGCCCGCCAAGGCCTCGATCTTCTTCGGCAGCAGCTGGCGCTGCTGGTCGCCGTGGCCCAGCTTGCCAAAACTTCCACTGCCCCAGCTCCAGACGGCGCCGTCGGCGGTGAGGGCGAGGCTGTGCATGAGTCCAGCCGACACAGCGACGAAGCGCCGCCCAGCAAAGGCCTCGACCTTCTTGGGCAGCAGCTGGGCCTGCTGGTCGCCGTGGCCCAACCGGCCCCAGCTTCCATAGCCCCAGCTCCAGACGGCGCCGTTGGCGGTGAGGGCGAGGCTGTGCGCGCTTCCAGCCGACACGGCGACGGCGCGCTGATCAGCAAAGGCCTCGACTTTCTTCGGCAGCAGCTGCTCCTGCGTGTCGCCGTGGCCCAGCTTGCCAAAGTGTCCACCGCCCCAGGTAAAGACGGCGCCGACGGCGGTAATGGCGATGCTGTGCACATCTCCTACCGACACGGTGACGACGCGCTGGCCAGCCAAGGCCTCGACCTTCTTGGGCAGCAGCTGTGGCTGCGTGTCGCCGTGGCCCAACCGGCCTCCGTATCCGTAGCCCCAGCTCCAGACGGCGCTGTCGGTGGTGAGGGCACAACTGTGGCGGGTTCCAGCCGACACAGCGACGACGCGCTGGCCCGCCAACGCCTCGACCTTCTGTGGCTGCCACTGGTGCTGCTCATCGCCGTGGCCCAACTGGCCAAAGCTGCCGCTGCCCCAGCTCCAGACCTCTCCGCCGGCGGTGAGGGCGAGGCTGTGTGCGGCTCCAGCCGACACACTCATGGCAGGGAGAGAAGACGGGAGGCGGGTCGGCGTGTTGAGCCGCGTCACGCCCTCGCCGTGGCCGAGCAGCGCTTGATGTATGGACGCTTTGCCGCACGACGAGAGCCGCCCCTCGCCGTCGATGAAGACGCTGTGATACTGGCCTGCCGCCGCCCTCGCCGGCGGGTTGGACTCGCACAGCAGCGCCGAATAGCACAGCCACCGCACGGCACAGCTCTCGCCCTCTGGCGGCGCCAGCAGCTCGAAGCCGCGCTCTTGCGCCCACAAGCGGATGCCCTCCAGCGCCAGCGAGGCGTGGAAGAGCAGCGAGACGGCCGCGACGCGAGCGATGTCGGCGGGGTCGCAGCGAGAGAAGACGCGGACGAGGAGGTCCGTGGGGAGGTCGAGGAGGCGGGTGGGCGGCGGCGAGCTTGGCGAGGGGGCGGCGGTGGCGGCGGGGGCGAGGCGGCGCGAGCGGCGGCGCGGCGGGGCAGACATCGCGAGAAAAGAAAACCGGGGCCGTGTTCCGTGGGACTATTATTAAAATGAAATCGGGGGCACGGGACGCGCCGAGCAGCCCCCACCCCTACAGAGCTGAACCTGTATCAGCCCTAGCCAATGTCGCAAAAAATCGAAGCGGCGGAAGCCAGCGAGCCCCCGCCCTCGACCGAGGGCCTCCGGGGAGCCGGCCCCCCCGCGGAGGGCACGTTCACCACCGAGAGCGACGGCGGCACAAGCTCTCCACCCGCCGCCGATTGCTCCTGCGCAGACAGTCGCGGCGCTCCGCTGTCGGTGGCAGAGCAACAGCTGGCGCCAGCAGCCACGCCTGGCGCCGGGGCGGGCGCCTCGCTGGAGCGTGACGGGGGCGGGGCAGGCGCCCCGAGCCGGCCGCCCCAGGATGTCGACGCGGCTGGCTTGACCGACCCCGCGGCGGCGGCCGCGGTCGCGGGCGACTCTTCGACAGCGCAGGCGGAGGTGGAAGGGCCGGCGAGGGCGGAGGCGGCGATCGCCGCACAGGCGCAGCCGATGCGGACCGTGGGGGGCGGGGTGGAGCCCACGGGCGCCGCGAATTCCCCTGCCGAGGCGGTGTCGCCGTCGGCGTCGCCAATGGCCGTGGCGGCGGCGGCGACGGCGGCGGCGACGGTTGCTGCAGTTGCCG